TCATTTCTAAAACCTAAAGATGTTCGATTTGGACTGAAACAGGAAACAGGAGCAGCTTTTAATGAAAATGTTTTTAAGAATAAAAAAGAGCATCAGGGAACTGAATAAAAATAAGGATTTGTTTTGTTTTTATTACAACTAATACTGTATTAGAAAAAAAAAAACAACAGCCTCTAACCTGAGCCACTGATGTATCAAGTTCTTTACATCTCTGTGTTTTTTTCTGCTGTACTTTAATCACAGGTTATGTGAAACTCCACTGCTCAGATTTCTTCATGTGATTCTTTTTTATTATTAGGAGCTGCTGTCATGTGCTGGAAAACTGCCATCTCCAGTTAGAAACACAAAAAAAGATCATACAGAGGAGATGATATTGGGACCATCTGTGTGTGAATGGGGAGGGGGATTCTCTTATAATCAGAGTGATGGAGAGAGCGGTTTAAAGTTTGTGAATTTAAACCATAAAGAGTTTACAGGAAGTTCAGAGAACGACAGAAATAAGACAATAAAATATAACTAAAGACAATAAACGCACTGAAGAAGGTTTTACAGATTCTAAAAGGTTCAACTCGAGCTTTTTTAAACTTTACTTCTGATTTTCTACTGACTTTCATGTAAAAACTTATTTATAATTAAGTTCTGCAGGTATTTTATGTTGTGATAGTGAAATGTCCTCAGCGTGCAGTTGTGCCAGATGTTAGAAAGTCTGCAGAACTCAGATATGAACCCTGTTCAGACTAAGAACCAGAAGGAGACATTAATAGGCAGATGGTCTCCTGTCCTGAGCCTGGTTCTGCTGGAGGTTTCTTCCTGATTAGCAGGGAGTTTCTCCTCTCCACCGTTTGCTCAGGATGGGAGACTGTGATGAAGTGATTCAACACAATCTGCTGCTTTCTTCTTTAGATCATTCTTATGTACAGTGCCCTGAAACAACATATGTTGTGACTTGGCGCTATATAAATAAACTTGAAACTTGAAACTTGAATATAAACCACAATGCATTGCAAAATGCTCACTTCCAGTATGCGCATAAGTATTTGCAAAAAGGGCCGATGGTGATGGAGCTGCAGATTTTTTCTGGGATCCGGATCATTCGGCTCAGCTCACCATAAAGACTCTCAAACTCCCCCAACTTAGTACTGATCAGTACGCAGGGCTGAAACTGACTGGAGACAGAAATTACACAAAAATTGTTTAATTTTCCACCGTAGTTTCAGTGAATGAGTATTTGCAACCAGGAAGCAGTGATTTTGTTTTTTAATACTTTATTTTCAGTAGATTAAGGCAGTGCATTGAACAAAATAACTGCGCTAACAACTTTTTAAAGACAAAATGAAGTAAACTAAAGGAAATAAAAGGGAAAATAATGTCTAGTTTTTTATATATTGTTGCATGAAGTTGCTAAATTTTTGCCGCAGATTCATGTTTATGTAAGGCTTTTTAAACGTAGAGCTTTATTTTTCAAAAATAAACATTGCTTTTCATAGAATTATTCCATATTAGACATCTTTATATAAAGTGTTTGTGTGTCACATTCCAAACCCCAGTTGTGTAATACACAGCAAAACAATTTTCAGAATTGTTTCACTGTTTTCTTGGTCAAGCACATTATTTTGTTGCCCACCTTCTCCCACCTTTATGACTTAATCTACTAAAATATACTTTTAAAATGAAGACAGGCAGATTTTTTTCGAGTGCTACATTTGTAATTAACTTTAATGTTTGTGTTTAACTTCGACTAAACACAAAACGTCACGTTGATCGCCGCTGATTAACAATAACTGAGCTCTACCTAGTATTTCCTGCATAGAAACAGTGCTTAACATGTCCTCTTATAAACACTGAAAAATACTGAAAAATAAATCTCCCACTTTCTTACTGGGAATTCCCACTTGAGAGGGGCATTCCATTTAAATTCACAACTTGTAAGTGGGAAATTCCCACTTCACAGCACAACTGTGCTGGAGCAAAAATATCCCCAAAAAAATGCATCAAAAAGGAGATTTTACACGGCGAATTTCAAATTGAGCCAAGCAGCTCCACCTAGTGGTGGGCTGCCTTCATTTGCTGGTAAAATGATCAACATGCATGATGGGAGTTGTAGCTCAGGGTCAGTGCAGCTCATTTTAAGACATTATTACAACTTTGAAGCTCTCAAGGGCCACATAAAATGTTGTGGTGGGCCACATTTGGCCCACGGACCTTTAGTTTGACATGTGCATTACTGATACTGAAACATTCAATTTTAGTTTTCAATTTAGAGGCTCAAAACAGTCCATGAAAATGGAAAAGAAAATGTCCATTTGAACATCTTTAAAGGTTGTGGAAGTTTTTGCGTGGTTTCAAAATTGAATGAAATACTTTGCATTTGGTTGATTTGTTGTTTTGTAAAATTACGTCAGAACCCCACAAACAGCTTCTTGGTCTAAACTGGCTTCTGATTGTAATTAAAACTTTGTGAGGAGACAATAATAATGACAGAAATGACTTGTGTCACTTTCTTACTTTTACTCTTTCATAACAGATCTGGTGCAGAACCTGTTTCCCTGTCAGGCAATTTCATTTTATTACAGCCTTTTTTGTGTGTGTGTGTGTGTGTGTGTGTGTGTGTGTGTGTGTGTGTGTGTGTGTGTGTGTGTGTGNGTGTGTGTGTGTGTGTGTGTGTGTGTGTGTGTGTGTGTGTGTTAAAACAGCCCTTAGAAAACCAACAGGAAATCACAGCTGAATTCTTTACAGCTATTAGTGGTTGTAATTATACAAGTGATCTTAAAATGAGTCACTTGGAGGCTCTTTTTTCTCAACAAAACATTGGAGCAGCATCAGAGGATTCATCTGAGCAGCTGCAAAATAAATCAACAGACTGGAATTACTTACTGTTATTATGGTAATGTGCATTAGTCTTAAACCACCATGGATTTATTTATTTATTGACTCTAATAAGCTTTTCTTTAGATTTTAAACTTTAATCAGTGGTCAGCTGTTGGCTGCTATTGTTCACATTTTCAGTCTGGACAGCATCATGCAGCTTGTGCTTAAAAATCTAGAAAAGTTGAGGATAAATTCATATTGAATTTGTTTGTTTTTTTAATCACAAATAAAGAAGTAACTGAAGTTAACACACGAGATCTGATCAGATTCAATAAAGAGAAGAAGCGTGCTCTCTGCAAGCAACAAGTGCACTGACTAAAACAATTGAGTTGTTTTTATTTACATTCTCTATCTTCCATTTAACTTTATTTACACAGATTGATCTCATTAAGCAGGAAGATGCTCCTTCACTGGAGCATCCTGTTTACAGGTAGTTTATCACAACAACAACTGTGCTGCTTGCATGAGTAATGACTGAGAAAAATGTTAATTTCAAGTTACTGAGCATCTATTTTTAGCTGAGGAGCATCGGTTAATCACAAACAGCAGCGAGAGCAAAACTATAGACGAGAAAGAAAAACCGCAGCTGCAAAGATGACAACAGCAGAAACAGCCTGCTGGTCTGGAGCCGATGGAACAAAGTTTATAGATGACATGTTGGAAATTAAACATTTTAAAGAAATTAAAGAAAGAAGTATGAATACCCGCTGAAATTGAAGGAGCTGAAACAGAAATGTTGAAGCTAAAACATGCTAAATATGAGCTAAAAGCTAAAAAGGACAAAAACACAAGTTATAGCAAAACATTTTGAAAAAAAAAGTTATTTGTAAAAAAAAATGTGTAGCTAGATGCTAAATGCAGCAAAGGGCTAGTTGGAAGATAAACACTAAACACTAACCAAAAGTAGCAAAATGTTAGCTAAAACTAGCAAAATGGTATTTAGATGCTAAAAGTAGCAAAGCCCTAATTTGCTACTAAGGTAGAAAGTTAAAAAGCTTAAAGTCAAAAGTAGCAAAATGGTAGGTTAATGCTAAAAATAGCAAAACAAGCCAAAATGTTAGCTAGGAGCTAAAGTAGTAAACAGATAGGCAGCAAAACTAAATCTAGAAGCTAAAAGAGGCAGGACACAAGCCAAATGTCAATGTAGCAATAGCTTAGCTATAGCTAAAAGCTTTGGTTATAGCTAAAAGAAGTGTAAAAAGTAAAAAAAAAAAAAAACAGCCAGTTTGCTGAAGCAAAATCAAACAACGAGAACATCTAAGAATGATTTAAAGAAAATGAAGATATTTTTATGCATTTCTGAGGTCATTTTTGTGTGACACAGCATTTAATAACATCCTGAGAGTTTAATCGAATAAATATCATTAACTAATCCCTCACTGTTTTTAAAGATAATTAAAAAAGTTCCCAGTTTGTTTGTTTAAAATTTCCCTGAAGTTTGAATAAAATATTTTACAGACAATCTGAACATTTCTCTATCTCCTTGCATTTCTTTTCTTTTTTTAAGTCAAAACCTTGAAGAAGTTTTATAATCTTTAGTTTTGTCTCTGGTATCAAGGCTCTGTCTGTTCTTTAAACTCATGCTCTCTCCCTCATTTCCATCCCAATTATCTCTCTCAGTTTTCAGGGAAACTTTCAGGAAGGAATCCCTGCATGTGATCATCCACAATTTATTAACCTCTGGATTCAATCCAAGATGGCTGCCAGCCAATCAACACAAAAATGACACAACTCATTCAGTTTTACAGATATTCACACAAAGTTTGATGTGGCTGCGTATTCACAGCACTTATTCTGAGGGTGACATCCACACTGACTGACAGCAGGCGGGCGATATGCATTCATTTTAAGGCATGACTTTAAATTAAGGCTTGATTAAATGCGTAAAATGTGCATATTTTGTTGTTTTTGAGTAAAGTAAAATGTGTGAATATTTAAATACACATTTCCTCTTCTGTGTTGCTATAAATGTTTTTACCTGCAGTCATGAAATTAGTTTTTTGTTATTTTATTTAGCACTAAAACGTGGAGTTTTGGTTCGGAACACAAAGAGTTAAAGGTGTCACGTGGGTAGCGGCTGGTATTATCAGCCTGGGGCTGTGAAAAAAAAATGTATGAGGAGGAAAAAAAAATCTAAAGAGAACAAAGAAATCAGAGTGTATTTAAAGAGAAGCAGCCGTGCGTCTCCCCGCACTCAGCTGCGCCAGAAGCCGCCGGTGCGCCTGCAGGATGCGGACTTCTCTGGTCGTGTGTTGCTGCGTCTTTGCGCTGCACTGTGTCCCGGGCATGCTGGGGCTGCCAGTGCGCAGAGCCGGCAGGTACAAAGCGGCACCGGTGAGTTCTTTTCAAGCCTTTCTTTGGACCTGGAGCTGATTTTTTCCCCCCTTTTTTTGTGCAGAATAAGCTTTTTATCTTGGAAAACCATTCATTCATGTTATTTTAAGGGTAGTTTTACTGTTAATTCTCTGTATTTGAGTGACTTCCCTCCCCCTCTGAACACACACGCACACGCTCACTCATGCGCAACAGATTGTTTCATCTGAGCAGAGTTTGCTCCAAAACAAACAGCTCTATAAAAGTTTAGCTTCAGGTTCAGGAATGCGCCTTTCCACATCCCTGCACGCCTCCTCCTCCTCATCAGGTCCGATGACAACATTAATGTTGTCATGTTGTGTGTCATTTTATTTAAACCTGCCTCTGCAATCAGCCTGAAGAAATGACTATCATCACTATTTGTGCTGATTTAGCAATAATCCCTGTTGTTTTTCCTGTTTGTGGTGTTTCATCTTCAGCTACTTTCAGCTGTTTTAACCTATCAGATGTTTTATTTTAGCTCATTCAGGAGATGTGAGCGGTGACTTTCTGTTTTTTGTAACATTTATAAATTTATTAATCTCTCATTGGAATAAATCAGATTATTTTTGTTGTGTAAAATTTAGTTTTAAATGTTTCCTTTTATAATTTTTGGTTTTAGCTGTTGTTTTGGCGATTGTAGCTTTTAGCTTTTGCTAATTTAAGGTTTTAGCTGCTCTTTTCCTAAATATCGCTTTTGTGATTGTGTGTTCATTTTTCCTTAAAACATTATTGTGGTCATACAGTATCACAAATGGTTTTAGCTATTGTTTGGCTGAATTTAGCTTTTAGATGCTGTTTTGGTGTATTTTAGCTGTGTGTTACAGTAATTTAGCTCAATGGTACTATAAATTTATATTTTAGTTACTTTGCTTAAATTAGCTGTCAGCTATGTTTTCTTAGCTTTAGCATTTAGCTATGCTTTTGCTAACTTTAGTTCTTTGTTGCAGTTATCCTAATTTTAACACTTATATCTTTTATTCATTTTATTTTAGGCTACTTTGTTAGGTTTAAGTTTTAGCTTATCTTTCATAATTTTTCCTTATTGTTAAGTTTTAGCTACATGTTTATAACTTGTTGGTTTTAGACTTTAGCAAGTTTTTGTTAATTTGAGCTGCTAATTGCAGGTTTTAGCTAGTGTTGTGCTAAATGTAGCATTGGTTCATTTTAACTTTCAGACTGTTATAGGATTTATGTAATTTTTTTCTGAAATTAGCCACCTTTATATTTTTTTAGGTTTTTATTTAGTTTTTAGCTAATGTTTTCTTGGCCTTAGCTTTTAGCTAACTTTAGCTTTTTTTTTGCTGCAGTTTTCCTTATTGTAACATTTACTTTTGGTTTTGCTAAATTTAGTTTTAGCTATTAATTAGTGCTAATTTTTTTGTTTTAGTGTTGATATTTTTGATCATTTTAGCTACTGTTTTAGCTGCATTTTCTACTTTCAGTTGTTAGCTGCTGTTCACCATAATTTAGCATTTAGCCTTGCATTTTTGCTAAATTTATCTTTAGCTTTCATCTTTAGTTAAGCTAGCTTTAGTTTTTGCCAATTTTAGCATTTATATACTGTTTTTAATTTGAGCTTTTAGCTACTGTTATGCTAATTTTAGCTTCTGTTCAGCTTGTTTTAACTTTGACAATCAAGTTTCATCTTGTTCAGCTTCAGCTCTCACTCACTCTGTATTTATTACAGAAAACATTTAGTTATTTTTGTGTGTCTGCTCAGCATCAGCTGTGGTTAGCAGCCGAAACTTTTATCTCTGCAGGATGACAGCAGGTTTCTGCAGAGAAACAAGAGAAAAACAAAAAGTTACTGAGTTCTGCTGCAGGATGGAGCAGCAACAACAAACCCTGAGGACATTTTCTCAACAGGACAGTAAAGAAAACGTGTGCACTCGTCAGAAAACACTTCCTGTCCCGATAATGTAGTTTGTTTTGTTTATGAATTCCTTCATTTCATTTATTATTTCATATTATAATTTTATTATTGTATACAACTTGTTAAATTTTGTGAAACAAATTCCAAAGTTCTCCCTTGTGATTTTTTTGCCTCCATTCTTCTCTCCAATTACAACTTGCTAAAGCAAATATTTGGTCTTTGTTTACAGAGTGGGTTTGTTTAGCGTGGCTCTGGAAGGAATGTCCTGTTTACAGGTACACAGAAAAACAAGCAGGCGCCGTGCGTGAGCAATGATGGACAAAAATGTTGTTACTGGGAAGAGTTCAGAAACTGCGCTGAGTCGGCATTTTCCTGATTATTGTTTTCCATTTGTTTTTGTTTTTTTCAGTTGTAATTATTTCCCCTTTGTGATGTTTTAGTCATCAAATCATTCAGCTCATCCAGTTTTTCGTAGCCTTTATACTTTTCTAAACTTTTTAGCTTTTACATGGTAGCTGTCCTTTTGCTACTTTTAGCTTTAGCCACCATTTCTGCTATTTTTAGTTTAATACTTACAACTTTTATCTGGCTTCATGTGTCTTTTAACACATAGCATTAGCTAGCCATGTGTTTCTTTATATATTCAGCTAGACCTTTGCTAATTTTAGCATTAGCAATCAGCAATTTTCTTTTAAGATTTAGCTAGGTTTGAGCTACTTTCAGCTTTTAACTATAGCGTTTTGTCACTTTTAACTTTTTGTTAGACCTAAGCTACTTTGGCATTAGCTAGCCTTAAGTTACTTTTACCATTTAGCCTTAGCTACTTTAAGCTTTTAGCTTGCCTTTTTGTCACTTTTAACTTTTATCTAGACCTTTGCTACTTTTAGCATTAACAATCTGTGAGTTTCTTTTAACATTTAAGCTACTTTCAACATTAGCAAGCCATAAGTAGCTACTTTAAACATTTAGCTATAGCTTTTAGCTAGATTTATGCAACTTTTAGCTAGACTATTTGTTACCTTTAGTATTTAGCCAGGCATTTGATATTTTTGCTTTTAGACTTTTGCTACTTTCAGATTATATTTAGCTAAGAGTTAGCTACTTTTAGCTTTAAACTGGAGTTTAGCTAATTTAGCTTTTAGCTAGCATTATTTTAGCTTTTTGCTAGTTTTGCTGAATGTAGCTTTTAACTTGTTCCGCTAATTTTAGCTTTTAGTTGAACTTTTACTCTTTTTAGCTTTTATAGCTTTTTACATCTTGCATTGTGTTCTGCTACAATTAGCTTTAAGTTAGCCGTTTGCTGCTTTTAGCTTTTGGCTACCATTTTACTAATATTGCTTGATGTTATTGTTTTGACTTTGTAAGCTTTCTGTGAGTGTTCTGCTTTTTAAGCTTTTAACAATATATTTTCTTTTTTTTTTCAGTAAATTTTAGCTGTCATTAGCAGCCTGCCTTCACTAGTCTAGTTTGTTTTCGGCTGCTGTGTGTTTGTTGAAGCATCGGCTGGTTTCGTGCAGCAGGTGGTGCAGTTTGGAACGAAGCTGCAAAGATCCTGAAAATGCTAAAAGATAAATAAAAGGTGGGAACATCTGTCAGTCGGAGCAGAAGAAGCGTGTTATAAACGTCAAGGAGACAGAATTATTACCCGAAGGTCTCGATCTTCTCTCTCACCAGATTTATTTTCAGGTGAGAACTTGTCAGGAGGAATCTGCAGCCACAGCTCGCTGTGTTCCAACGTAAAGCAACAAGTCCATGGAAGTAATAAAAGTTATGGATCATTGTGTAAAAATGTACTTTCTGCTGAGCTGTTAGACAATGAATGAAAAGAAAATAAGGCAAGATAATAAAGAGATTGGAAGGCCTAATGTTGAATAAACAAACTTGTGCACCCTCAAGCTGTTTCCTTTAACAGATTAACAGTTTTATTTTTAATACCAAATGTGTTACTCCTTCAGAAAGATGCCCTTTTATTTTGTTAATCATTTTAGAACATTTGTGCCAAAAATCTGCTAATAAAACCCAGTTTTATCTTTAATTTGATCTAACGACCCCCTGCATCGTTTCTCCTGACCCACAGCGGGGATCGGACTTTGAATAATATGTAAAGAAAACAAGAAGAAGAAAAAAATCCAGTTGGAACCAGTTTGAGCTTGTTGACAAATGGAAGCTAAAATATCGAGAAAACTGAATTTGATGTGTTTGAGGTTCCACTGTTTTCAGTGTTTTTTCCCGTTATTCTCAGTTGTATATAATCAGAATCACTGCAAAGCTGTAAAAATGTGCGTTTGTGACGTTAAAAGTGAACGTTTTCTTGTTACAACTCTTCTGCACCTGCGATGGTTTTGCTTTGTCTGTCGGTGGTTTTCTCCCGGGAAGTCTAATCTGTAGTTTGGGTGTTTGTTGAGAACTGAGTGATTGCACATGCACGCCTCGACAGGCCTGTGGCATCCAGGGTGCTGGGATTCACAAAGTGAAGTGTGTGTGTGTGTGTGTGTGTGTGTGTGTGTGTGTGTGTGTGTGTGTGTGTGTGTGTGNGTGTGTGTGTGTGTGTGTGTGTGTGTGTGTGTGTGTGTGTGTGTGTGTGTGTGGAACTGTTTGGATTTTGCTTCTGTCAATAAAACCTGATTCCCGTGTTTTTCACCCCCTGCTAGTTTCGCCCCGTCGTGTCGATGTCTTTGCGATTGGTGGAGGGACCGTGGGAGCAGGTGTGACGTCGGGCCCCATCGAGCAGATATGGGTCACAGCTGCGTCGCGCTCTGAGCGGCCAATGAAACATAATGCAGCTAAAGGGCCTCCTCTTTTAGGGAATCTGATGCTTTTGTTAGCAGGAAGAAACATTCTGAATACCTGACTGATTAAAAGACTGACTCACCAAGCTTTAAGCTCATACAGGTAAAACCTTAAAAATAACCCTCAGTATTGTAAGATCTGTTGGGACTCCAAATATGTGTTTCAGATGACTCTCAACTATTACCACACCAATTTTTAGCTCAAAATCTCTACAACTGACCGAGTTACAGCCATTATTTTTGCTAATTGTAGCAGGCCTTTTAAACTGGGTTGATTCCAGAAGTTAATCAGTTGTAATTAGTGGGACTGTCATGGC